AATCCGGAATTCCCCTTTGAGTCATAAACACCTCCTCAACAGTTTCTTTGTTCCTTTTATAATTGACAAGAAATACAGAATTCTGTGAACAAATTTGTTCTAAGTTTTGCTCTGAGACGGGCGTTAGGAACGATTTTGGGTAATCGATTCGCCGCACGCGGCTGTCGCGGACCACATTTTCGCCGTTATTACAGCTCTAGCGTTCTTCATACAGCTCAATCGATATGCGATCATTATTTTATGCATAATTCTACTATTAGTACTTTTGTTCTTGTATTTCTTACCCACTGCTGCATCCGGCTACATTCCGGCGACGCCCCTCTTACCGCGACGCGACCATTTCATTCCTAACGCACCACACCCGGTAAGAAGTTGAGCCTTCCAATAAATAGATGACAAATTATGCGCAACTACCATTCTGAATGGAAGGCGGATGCATGGCGTAAACTTTTCACGAGGGTTTCACGAATCATGCACCCAATTCCTCAGCTTCTTCGACTTACAAATTTCTGATGAAGGAAATCTCTCGGAAGTCTAGTCTCTGTGGGCTAGTGTGTAAGCAATTTTTATTTCATTTTTCATGAAATTCAAGGCCTCACCGACATAGCGTGGGATAGATGACAAGTGGTGGTCATTTATGTCAGTGAACTCATTTTTATGATTCATACTTGAATTTTGGTGCAATGACCGAAAGCCTCAGGGATTTCTTTAGAACCGATACTGTCCGAGTAGGCCAGAATACCACTGTACGATTTTATAGTATACGTGAAAAGTTTACGCCATGCATCCGCCTTAGAGCGCGTACCTCAAGGAACTGATCACGATGGCAAAGCTATCTGTAATAGGTGGGCTGTGGCTGAGGAAGTTCTCACATTTTTTTCAGACCTCTTATGATAGCTTGCGCTGCTAAGCATAAAAATAGAATTTCCAGTACCAACTATTGACATTAGTTCCATTACGATTATTACTGACTATCAAGTACCTAGGCCCCTTCTTCACTTGAAAATCGTCTCAAGTGACCTCCTCTAATGTCGCATCTACCATTTGACACATTAACAAATTCAGAGAATTTGTGAAAGAAAAGAAGTTCGAGATCACTAGACAGAAAATTCATTGACGGCCCATCGTAATACAACATCACAACCCAAAACGATGGCGAAAAATAGAATAGGATTTTTGAACCACAACGTCAACGATTAACATACAACAATTTTCGTGAAGGAAGTTAATTGTACTACAAAAAGGCATCACAAGTGAGGGTGACAAGCTATAGGAGTGTCGTAAACAGCTTCCCAAGTGAGCTGAAGTGCATCTAATGATAAAAAAGAGAATCGATAATGAAACACGGAGAACGTTTCTCGATAACTAAGAATCAAGGGCAACATAAACATCGGGCGCGTATGGTTGGCCCTGCACAAACCAGTGCATGACGCTTTGCGACCGCACGCTTCATGGCCATGCAACACACTTAGGAATACCCTTCGAAAGATTTGTTAGATGCCCTGTTTATGTCACTCTCTTGAAATATGTTCGAAAATCTGGTCCCATTTTCGATGTCATATGGTAAAGATGGAGACGTTACAAAGAAAGATCGCTTCTTAAAGAATCTGATCAATATCACATAAATATCACTGCTTAGACAGTTTGTTGTAGATGCTAAAATAGTAAAAACTGGTGCACAAATAATGTCAACATTGGAAGACTCGTTATAGGACCTTCACAGAGGTCTAGAACAATACTTTGATGAGCTGTAAGCCACGGCCTAAGCAACTCATTGACCACTGCCCTCCTCACTGTTGATTTGGGAGCGTAAAACCTTCTGGTAGAACGGAATCATTCACCGTTGCGGTCATGTTGGTTGATTTTCGGATTCTGAATCCCTTCCTATTGCCCGCTGAAGACGAGGCGTGAGAAAAACTAGAGAGAACAAGTCACATCAAAGTACAAAATGATGTCAAGCTGAACACGACTAATACCCCATCTCCCCGAAGCTGACTCAACCCTTTGTGTTTTACCGTTCCAAGAACCACTACAAGAAAAGTGGAAGCCAATCAGAGCGTGGATAAGAATTAGCCAAGCATATGAGGCATAACGAAACTTCTCACTATATAGGCAAAGTTTGTTACAAAATTGAGCGTACAAGGCCCACCACGTGCATACCTAAACAAGACCTAGCCATACCTAATTCAACGGAGCCAGTTTGCACTAGTTGCCTACCCTTGTGTAAAAGAAGGTGAAAAATCGGCATGTTATATCCTTTATTTGTAACTGTCAAGACTCTATCTAATACATACCAATTGTCATAGCTCGATACTATAAACGGGAGTGAAGTCGTGCACTACACTAGACCTCCTGCGAAGTTCATATGTACGAACTCGTGAACAATGATGTTCGTTACTACTACTTCAGGGACATTACTTATGCACCAAACTTTCCTTCGTCAGAATGAGGAGGAGTAAGAGGAAATGAATGGCATTAATGATGTGCAAATATAGAGGAATGTGTGTTAAAATGTTAAATAAGTCACAACAGCTTCGGTTGACAATAAATAAATGACATCATTAACCTCATCTAGAGAGAGAGACAGTAAAGTGCAACAAAAACTAAATGTCAAGTTTGACTTTGCACCAATACCTACCTATCTTTGTGCATAATTCGCAACTCTCAAAATTAGTGGTCGATTTATAATCCAAGCAAATCATCGAAATTCATGTTAGCAGGCGTTGTGGTTGCTTGTGGTTGAGCGGTGGTAGAAGAAGGAACTACTGGCTTACTCATGTAGTTCATATTCAAAACCTGAAAAGAACCCAAGCCAGTTTGTTTCATCAAAGTTCCATACGTCCCAGGATCTCGGAAACAAATGCCTAACGATATCCAGAGGAATCATTCAAAGATACGTGCAGCTGATTCTTGATTAATGAAAACTTTAGAACGAATAAATCCTCAACCAACCTTCCCTAGAGATAAATCAGCAAATGCGTTATTGGCACGAGTTGAGCAGGCGGTTGGGGACTGTGGCTGTGCCGACATTGTGGCAACGGGAGCTGGAGCAAACTGCATGCCCTGTAGCATTGCAGCTCCTGAAGGTTGTTCGAACGGATTTGGAAATCCTTGCGGATTCATTCCATATGGCATCTGAGCTACAGGAGGAGCAAATCCGACGCCCATCATTGCCGGAGCTACTGGAAAAGCCTTGTTTTCGGCTACCTTTGGTGCTGCACCATAGGTAGGCATCCCCTGAACGAGATTAGAAGACTGAGGAGGTGCCGCTTGTAAGCCAAACGCTGCAAAACCACCGACAGGAACAATCGGTTGTGTTGGACCCTGAAAAACATCTTCAGAGCTTGCACAGAACAAAGTCATCATGGCCAATATCAGGATACTTCAGCAACAACTCACCTTTGATTGGTCACCAAAAAGAGAAAGAATGTCTGCAGTCGTTTTTTTCTCTCCGTTTTCTGTTCCTAATCCACCGGACAAAGACATTAGATCTGCTGACCCCTGAGACGGTGTCGTGGACTGCGCAACCCTATCCACGGGCGACGCTTGCTGAGATGGAGCTGCAGGTACAACTGTATCGATAGTTGGTGCGGTTGCAAAGGATCCAAACATGTCCTCGACTTCTGCTTGATTCACGGCTGCCTCCTAAAAAGAGCAAAACACAAACGGTCTTGTTTAAAAATCGAAGAGCACTGGGCAGATAAATATAATCCAATGACTAGGAACTAATTATGCAATTTAACGCTTCATTTGATCATGCATAGCTTACGTCAAACTTAAACGAATAGCTCCGGAGCATTTAGCTAGCTCCAGCCCCTGAGATCACAAGTTCTGAATCCCGATACTACGTACGTCATTGTAGAAGAAGCAGATCAGGCCTTATGCTAGTGAGAAGCAGATTGGCTGAAGAAGTCCAGTGATTGTTTAGGAGGGAAGGGAATGTTTACTCACGCTCATTTTTCAATTTTCAAGCAGTGTAGCTTTATCGTAAATGAGTGGGCCAAAACAACTAACCAAAACTGGAGCATGCCCTATCCCAAAAATGATAATAAAAAGAATTTACTTGCACTCACTGGAAAATATCAAGCAAATCCCGAGAATAGAAAAACACTAATACCTGCTGAGCAATCGACAACGAGGCGAAATCTCCGGCGAAAGAATTGTTGCCATTGACCTGTGTATTAGAGCTAGCAGGAGAGGAAAAATCCAGAAGATCGCTAACAACAGCTGAACTCGATTTTGATTCAGAAGAAGCCGCATCGGATACCCGTACACTGTTTGGCTGAAAAAAAAAACTTCAGTGAGTGAAAAAATTCTTATTTGTGAGATAAATGAATCAGAATTATAATAAGTTACAACTGCATTAAGTTATTAGAGAATTGTACTTTCAAGTTTACGCATAGACACGCCAAAACTACCTACTCCCACGAGTCTTAGACAGATGTCTCCCTCCAACTCCCAGAGCGCCTCATTTGATAAACACAGCTCAAATCTACGTCAAAGTGCTAGCCCTCATTTTCTTGTTGGTGACAGTTGTCGTTTCACAATCCTATGCATTTATTCGTATGCACACATATGTTATCACATCACACCGTTTGCTAAATAAAAAAATTCAATGAGCTGTGTTGGCAATATTGTGGTGCATGGCATAGAGCAGAACGTACAATCACTAAATACGAGCGCGCAAGTTATCAACGTTGTTGTGCCTTTATTGCTTTTCTATATTCAATAGATATAATTTTTAGCTAGAACTGGGAGTAGAGTGGTAACAGGACTTGGTAAGCTGAGTCGCTATAAAAAAAGCCTTATTGTGCGGCAACAGTTTTCCTCAAGTTTTGTTCTTTGTTACATATTGAACTTCTAGCTTAACAAGCTCGAATAAAACCATTGAATGTTCATCATCAAAATTAAAAGTTGTACGCAAGTACACTCCATTTCCGGCAGTGAAGAAAAACTACGTACCGACGTGAGTGCAGCACTTGGAACCTTCTTTTTTATGTTAATTTGACCCGGTTTCGGTAAATCGTTAACATCAACTCGAGGATAAACAAAACCATTCAACATATACCTGAATATAGAAAAATGTCGAGTTATAATGGTGTAAAGAAAACAGAAAAATTAAGGAAAAGGACCTTTTCTGCTCATATTTCGCACGAATAAACTGTTCCATTTGATGGTCTGCCATAGAACGGCGAAAGTGATCAGGTAAAGAGTGTTCATACACCTGAGAGAATGATAAAAGCAAAAACTGTGTGGGCGTCGGCAGTATTTAACTAATCGATTACCTTCCTTGCTTTTTCATTACCCATTACTCGCATCGACTGCACCTGTTCAGGCGTCCACGTATCCAAATTCACAGATCGCACCTCAAATAATTCAGCAATGTTCCATTTGATGGTCTGCCATAGAACGGCGAAAGTGATCAGGTAAAGAGTGTTCATACACCTGAAAGAATGATAAAAGCAAAAACTATGTGGGCGTCGGCAGTATTTAACTAATCGATTACCTTCCTTGCTTTTTCATTACCCATTACTCGCATCGACTGCACCTGTTCAGGCGTCCACGTATCCAAATTCACAGATCGCACCTCAAATAATTCAGCAATTATAGATCTAATATCATCATTGGCTAAATGGCAGCCAGTTCCATATAACCAGAAAGGTGGGTCCCTGGCTCTTACCATGCTGTTCGTCGGACAGCCGAAACAGAAAGTAGTTAACGGCAGCGCAATCAGATTTTGTTAGAAAAAAACCCGCTCCGTAAAAAAGTTGCTGGTAAGTTACGGAAATGGAATAACAAAACAGCAGAGGCTTTAAAAAAACATTGGAGGTGGTCATATTGATTGGATTATATGAACGCTTTGCAAGGCAAACTATAGGGCAGCTAGAATTGGTAATCAGCCTAACCGCTGCCTCGCTCGACACGTTCATATAATCATAACTGAACCAGACAAAAACGAACCTTCGAGATATGCACCCCAAGGTTTCGATGTATTCCTGCACAGCGAATGCAGATAAATACTCCCAAATTCCAAGCCGCCCATCTGAACCAGAAATCACTATAGGACGGACACCTTTTATGTGACAGAACTGCATTGAAGGAATAAACCTTGGAGTCTTTGCTTGGCAATCGGCACAGTATTTGTTTTCATCTTCCTTGAGCATATCCAGCAGGATGTTTTGGAGCCGTTCCTGCTCCGCTTTCTTCTCATCTGCCTTCCCGCGTCGCATCGTTGTTCCCCCTTAAAAACCAGAATTTTCTTGTTTACATTAGAAACCAGGGAATAGAGGCGACACACACACACACATAAACATCAAAACGGAGGGAGAGCAAAAAAGCGCACTTGGGCTAATTGGAACTCTAATCTGAAAATCGATACACCTGGTTAGCATCCACAGAACAAAGCATAAAGTCTAGAAAATTTGGAGAAAGCAAGTAAAGTAAGCCATTTGAAACCAACCGAAAATTCTCCCGGCTCATCCTTCTACTCCGAAATACACTTAAAAGTCAAATTTCAGATGTTATTGAATTTTAGGCCCTTCTATGTCGTAAAAACTCCATCGACTGTGAGAAATTGAGACATTCCCGATAAAAACATTTTTGTGCACAGAAAAACATTCAAAAAGGCATTGGAAAGAGACTGAATGCACTAAAAATCGTCCAACGGTAATAGCACAACAAAAGCTGTCTGCTCGATTTTAACTACTGAATTATACTGTTGAATACTGTGAAAAACCCCTCGACATATTCCCATCATACTGAAACAGTACTAGTTAGAAGTTACAAAAAGGTCCCATAGTAGCAACAAGAATTAGAATTAGCCGCATTGAGCTAATGCGCTTAAAACGAACTGAAACTTTGTGAAACACAAAGGTATTCGGTGGAGGTCAGTACATAACTCATCTCTGAAGCTCTTATTTCAATCGAGCATACATGTAGCCATCGGACGAGGAAAACGGGAAAACTACCAACATTCGTGAGCTATGTTTATCTTATGACGTTGCTTTGAGTGATGCTTCGACAAGCAAGCCACTTTGGCCTAATTTTAAGAAGAAAAAAAGGACATATTTAATAATAAAGCTCTCATCAAAACCAAGGGGTGCTGTGAAACTGATATTATCGATTTGCAGTTTCGCAATAACTTCTCATTATATTAATTCCATTTAGTTTGCATAGCGCACACGGAACGTCAAGAAAAACCATCGAATGAGCGAACAACTAGCATTAAAATGCTGAAATTTGACTTTCCAGTAAAATGTATTATTGATCGATATGTAATAAAGAACTCGAATCGAGTAGAGATTTTTACTGACTGCTGAAACCATAAACAATTATCTTGCTATAGTTATCGAAAGCAAAATGAGAATTTTGTGTACGTTCGAAGGCGAGATACCGAGCAATGAATTTATCACCGACATGAAAACTAGTTCTGGTTGACAATGGATTCGTCACGCTAAAAAGAAGGAAAAAAAACTATGGTCATGAATACCCTTGATGAGCCCTTGTGCTGCACTTGAGGTACCAATAATGATAAGCACTAGATAAGCACTGATTCGTTACGTATCTTATCAAAAACGATTGGAACTGCCGAAAATTGGTCTCCCATAGACTAGCAGAAGTCAAAAAGATAGGTTGACAACGAAATTGGCTTGAAAAGGAAAAATTATGGCACAGAGCACCGCTTGTCTTCGTGTCCGCAACTAACGCGTAAGATTAAATATGTCGACCGCAACAAATGTGAACTGTTAGCACAAATTTTACGTCTTCTACCGAAAACGATACCGTGGTGCAGTTGCTTGTTTACAATTGCTGTTTTGTGTATGTAATTTTATCTCTTGAGCTCAAAAATAAGGTCTAGAATCAGGAAAAAGCTCTGCATTCATGATGTATGCCAACCATGACGAGATTGTGTAGAGTTTCCAACATGTTGTCATGTTTCCAATCGAATAACGACTTTTGGACAATGAGAACAGAAAAGAAGACAGTTCTTTCCTGAATAAGAGGTGGCAGGCGTGCGCTTATCTTTGTGAACTTTGCCATTTTTGGAAAGCTTGTAAGAAGGGTTACGTACGCTTTGTTCAACAATTGCAACTACTTTAGTAAAAAGCAGTTTATTAACTAGTTGCATTATTAATTCCATGTAACGGGAGGTCATTTTGCATCTTGTGCTATTCAAGTTTGTGACCTGGCCGTTGTAAAACTATTATTCTAGTTGATCGTTTGTACGAGAGTAACGCCGCAAATGTAAGGGTGGGGGTGAGGATAATTTGTGAAGGGGATGATTCAAAGTTTCATATTGGTGCTGTTGTCGCTTCAAATAACAAACAATTTCAAGTGTAAATGGTAGCACAATTCTTCGCCACAGTGTCACTTTGACTCAATGTTTGCTGTCCACTTTTTCCATTTTGTTTCCCAATTTTGAGATGCATTAAGACGTCATAACGACCTCAATGTTTACAAAATACAGAGTATCAAAAAAGGCTTATTGTGATCAACTCAATTCAAAAGGGACAGAACTTTAGAAACAAAGCGTTGCTTGCATTGTAGCGAAGCGTAGTTGTTTTATTTTTGATTTAGGGATACCTATCATGTGAACTAACAGTCATAATTTTACTTTCGATAGAGACGACCCTGTTAAACTTCTCCTTTAAGGGAGCCTGTAATTTCTTTATTCTTTATTCATTTCTTTTGGAATACTAGGCTGTAGTTCACGATTCGAAAGCCATTGATGAAGTTCTATCGCGATTCCGTTTTTCTTGAATGGCACACAACCTCTCGTGTTTCTCACTCATTCTTGCCAGTAATCTCCTCCTTTTACGTGGCATCATCTAAGTATGGTGACAGAGTAAGTGCGTATATTTTGGAGAAATATAATTACCAATTGTTCACGAAAAGAAGAAATTTTATTCAATTTTACGTGAACCTTGAAATACCCGGATAGCTGGCCTATACATATTGGTCATTTAAAAAGCAGATAATTACCTTACAATATTTGAATATTTAATACTATTAATATTTGGATATTTGAATTACTCAGAGAAACACAGTTACATTGCTGTCAATCTAATAGTTGCAGTCTCGTCGGTCAACGTCCTTGATCTCTGCCTTGTAAACTGATGAAGCTTTTCAAACTGATAAGACTAGCTTTGGTTTCTCGGAAACATTGCTTTCCCATGTGGCGGCGAATTAGGGGAGGGGAACGGCTGGGGTCGCTTCAATTTACTTTAGACTTTTCACAGTATTTATGAGATGTAAGAAATTTAAAACGATTTTTTCAGAATTAGAAAAATTTACTTACTAGAAGGTAACTCTCTCTTTCTAGCTAGCTTCTGTGCCACCATATTGACCTAAAGAATGGTATTGTTTATAACTCATCGTAATATCGTTCCATCCATCTTTCATTCCTGTACTATTACTAATTATTCAACATATTGCAGGTTTTGCACTATCGCTTGCATGCCCACGTTGAACGGTGAAGAAGTCTTAGTGGGTGGAAATTATTTAGTACGTGGGAGACGAGGTTGTTGGCGTCATGCTACTGTACTAGACAAACGACAAGGGGAAGATGGCACTCTAGAACTGTATCTGCATTTCGAAGGGGATGACAGAAGACTTGATCATTGGCTGGATTCAAGCAGGCTCAAAGTAAGTTTTTCAGACATTTCTTTTGTACAGTCTATCGTGCAGAAAGATTATATCGGTTCTAGAACAGGCACTTGAATAGGCTTTAGCATTGTTTTTGCGTTCTCAAGTAATTTTCTAGTCTTCGTGAAATTAGAGAATCGAAATGTGATTTTACTGGATGAATTATTATATTTTGTTAATGTGTGGTTTTTCAGTATGAATTTTTTTACAGTATTGACGAGGTGCCTTACAACTACACTAATGATTTAGTTTCGCAATCAAGCAAGCAAGCGAATCACATCAGCATATGAAATGAGAGAGAAGAGAATAAGAAGAGCAAAGGAAAGCTCTCCAAACAGTGCCAGCTTGGACTATGCGGAAATTTTAGAGGAGCAACACAAAGAGGTGATCACTTCGATTTTTGAAACCTAATGCGGAGAACGATCAGTAGTTTGTATGGTAAATGTCACTGACCAGACTGATTTGCTCTTATGGTTAAGGCGACAAAGGTGAAATATATTGAAGTCGTGCGCTATGGTGAATTCGAAATGGACACTTGGTGAGTGGAATTAGATATCTGCTTTATGAGGCACACTACGATGAAGCCACAATGCATCGTAGTTTGCTATATTTCTTCTTTTAGGTATTTTTCTCCATATCCGGATGAGTATGGAAAAGAAAGATATTTGTTTATCTGTGACAAGTGTTTCCTATACATGCGACAAGAGAGAGCCTTCAAGATGCATTTGGTTAGTTCTCCACGACACTGTTTTCAGTATAACTCCATAACAAGCACAGTAATCATGTACCAGTTTCATTTCCATGTAATTTCTTTTTATTTTGAAGGGGGTGCTTTTTTTAACTTATTCGTTATTACACTTAGTACTTTGAATTATGCTTAGTTTTACATTATTTCTACGAGGTAATTTTTTGTTCAGTCAGGTATTTACAGAGTTCTTGCACTGCTAAACATCCTCCGGGAAGAGAGATTTACGTGGACTATTCTGAAAACATTGCCGTTTACGAGGTAGACGGTGAAAAAGAAAAGGTATCTGAGTCTTGTACTGCTCATTGTTCGCACAGTTTCCTGAAGAATTCCCCCCAATGTAACTATTAGCTCCTTCTGAGGGTCAATGTCATAAGGCGGGCCTCGTTCTGTGCCCACCAGTCTTCCCCTTCCGTTCTTGCCGTCGTATCAGCAAGGAGCGCGACACAAGTGGAAACTGTGCTAGTGACCGCTTTGGACTATCCATCCTGTAGCCGCTCTGAGCCAAATGTTTCTAAAGGGTTGGGAGAAAGGCTTCTTAATTCTCTGTTAAACGCGACATCAATTTTGGATCCGTCTAGGGGTGTACTTTTAAATTCACCCTTGCTGTCTTTCATGTTGAACGTTAGTAGACTATGAATTTTCATTTTTTTTTTGCGCATGAGTCTGTGGAATAGCTTTAGGTTTTAAATTCCGAAAAATTGAAGAGATAAGCGCGCATGAGACTATCTGACATGGTTTGCTGCTCCCTTTATGTCCATACTTGATCCTGTAGTTATCAGCTCGCTTCAGCTCAGCACTTAGCAAAATTGTATATAAGGCTGACTATTCAGGAAAATTTTGTTTTGTCTAGGGCATCAGAGTCTAGTCATTTTTTCAAAGAACATCATAACCATCATATCCAGCTGTTAGAATTGATCTTCCATCATTTGGCCGAAATCAGGGGCATTTTGAGTTTGAGTGCTTCTTACTACCATTCTTTTCTTTATTTGTTCATATTTATACGCTTCAGGTGAACCTCGACCGGTTGGCTATTTTTCGAAAGAACGTACATCACCTGATGGCAACAATTTAAGCTGTCTACTCGTGTTTCCGGCTTTTCAACGGCAGGGCTTTGGAAGTTTTCTGATTCAGTTGAGTGAGTGACTTGCAAATACAGCTTGTTCTCGTCAAAATAATAAAATGTTTCCGAAAAAAATATTATTGAATTTTTTCGAATTAAAAAGAGGAGTCATGTTGGTGAGCTTGATCCTCTTTTACGCAGCAAGTGCCTTCTCTTCCAGGTTACGAACTTTCTCGCCGTGAAGGTATACAAGGATCCCCTGAAAAGCCATTATCCGATCTCGGCGCTGCGAGTTTTCGCCACTATTGGGCATATCTCATCGTTGAATACCTTTCTGGCTTCATGGATACTGCGTGGATACGAGTTTCTGAATTGGCGAAGACTTTGGGTATGTTGCCGGATTAATTTTTCTGATCACAAATGTAGTGTATCAGTTTTCAAGGCATGCAAGCGGAGGATGTTGTGGATACTCTTCACTGGCTGCGAATATGCGATCCAGCAGTGATGTCTGAAGCACCGGATGATCTCGAGCTCTGGGTGCATGTCTATATTAAAAAGTTGGATTCTTTGCGAACTAATGCTGCAAAACCACCACGTCTAATGATAAATCCTCGTTTACTTCATTGGCGACCCAAAACCTAGTTAATAATCTTAGTTTGAAACATACCGGTTTTTCTAGATACGGAACGTGTCGCTATGGGTTCAGCTCTTTCCTCTATTGTTTTTTGACTACCATATTTTGACTACATGCAGTGTGTCATGCTATGTTCTCATCTTCGAATTTTTGAGATTTTATACTATTCAACTTCCTCTTTCTATTATCTTGCTAGGTTGAGTTAGTGGCTTGTAAAGTTGTGCTTAAAAGCTATCAAAATAACGATAGTTTAGAGTTCTGTTCCGTCGATACTTCTGCCCACATAGTGCAACGGTGTTGAAGATCTCAGTACTGAATAAAATGTATTTTTAATTCATTGAGTCGATNTTTCTTTATTCGTCGATGATATAACATATTTTTTTAGAATTAGCTTGCGTTTGTTATTCTTTACTGATCTTCTAGTTATGGATGATAAAGAACACGAAGAAAACGTACAACAAAATGGATCTCATGACACAGCTGAGGTATTTTTTTTTGTTTGTTTTTTTTTTCGGATTTTTTTTTTGTAAGCTTGCTATGACTTGTCAAACACTTTGATTGAATTCGCACACAATGCCGATTATCATTTATTCATTGTTAGTAGAAGATGTGATAGTACTTAAAAAGTATAACAAAAAACCTGATAATATTTAGAAACTTGGGGAATTTCTGTGAGGTGAATTACTTCGAAGTAAAGGATCTTGACGAAGTGGGGCAACACTGTTTGTCAAGTTCCCTTGCGTGGATACCAAAGTGTTTAAGGTTTGCAAAGAGAATAATTCAAAAGGGATCCGGAGAATCTGACTGCATATGAGATTTATTCGCCAAAACCTAAAAGAATACGGAAACTATCAGTAAACTTAGAACGTGCCATCTTACTTTATTGCGGGTTACAACGTTAAGGAAAGTCATATAAGTTGGGAATAAGTGAAAGGATATAAATAGAAATGACAAAATTCCAAAGCGTTCAACACTGAGCTTTATCGTAAACACTAGCTGAAAGAGATGGATTTCGAAAAGTAAAACTTTGAGTAAAATGCCTCTGAGGAAACCATAGAGGCACTCATACGGTTTAGGTCAGAATTTCTCAATGGTTCTGCAGTTTCACCCGCTGCAAGTATAGCTTGGGAGCATATCTTCAGTTAGATATTTAGCAATCCATACCAATCAGAATCAGAAGTGCACCTTTTGGGAGGCGATATGCTGTGAATCAGCCCGCTCGAACCGGCTCAGACCAACCGTAGTATTGGTAATCTTGTTGTCACGGCACCTTTTTTCATGCATTCTCACGTGAGACTACACCTTTTGTTTATAATGGTTGGTACATAAAGGTAGAATGACTGTGAAGGGCATCAAAAGTGATGAGTTTTTTCAGCAGGTGTGAGAGGGTGTATGATTGTATGGTTCCAGTGCTGTTTAGAAAATATTGGGTTGTAACATAAGTTCGTAGAGTTTTGTGTTAGGGTCATTTTACAACGACTCGCTTTGTTTTTTGGCGAAGTGTATTTATCCATTCGAAAGAGCTCTTTCTCCTCTATAAAACAGTTTTATTCGTTTTCTTGGATAATCTAGTTGTACGTCTTTTTTCTGGCTCAGAATTGGAATATCCAGGAGGAAAAAATCAGCATTTTCGACATCTGCTTTTCATCGAGGTCAATAAGCAGCCAAAGTCGTTCGGGACATATGCAGTGTGTACGAAGAAGGTGTCTTAGGTGTGTCTCTGGGTGGCCCCAGGAGAGACACCGAAGCCGAGAGTCAAGCAAGACCTTCACTCAAAAAAGGTCATGATTTGCGTTTAGTGAGACTGGAAAGGCACGGTGCACTGGGAAATGCTCGCGCGAAATGTTACTGTCAACAAGGAGGTCTACATTGCCCAGCTAAACCGTGTTAGTGTGGCTATACGGTTGAAAAGACCCGATAGACAAGGTGAAGACGTCTTGCTCCACGACAACGCCAGGCCCCATAATGCCCAAGTCGCCAAAACAGCACTCCAAAAGCTTGAATGAGGGGTTCTTCAGCATCCACCGCACTCTCCGGATCTTGCACCTCCCGACTACCACCTTTCCGCTCTCTGTTAAACCATATGAGGAGTGTTACCTTCGATGGCGAAGAGGTTCTTGGAAACTGGCTCAACAACTTCTTCGACACCAGACCGGCCGATTTTTGGCGAAACGGCATCAACAAATTGGTCGAGAGATTGGAGGAGGTCGCAAACAGTAACAGGAGGATAAATCATTGATTAGTTTATTACTATAATTATTGTTATTTGCTAAAATAAATCTCTGTGAAAAAACTCTACGAACTTATGTTACAACCCAATAGAATTCAGTCTTTAATCAAAGGTGGAAACACCTTTTTCCTCAGGAGTCAATTACGGCACCTCTTGTAAATGGAACTGCAACTGATAGCACAGCCATCGACTCAGGATCTGAAGCCGTGACAGAGGGCTCTTCTGCAGGACCAGCATCCACGGCAGAGACGGAAATAGTCAAAGATAAGTCAACTCCGTCAGAAGCCAATGAAGAGCCAGAGCTGGATAATAGAACATTTACCGTAACGGGTCTGAAACATCCTGGAGGATGGAGGACGCATTCCGAGGTTCTTTTTTCTCAATACTTGTCATATTTATGGTAGTCTTACAACCAGCTTCAAGTTCAGATTATAAACATGCTTGCACGCTGTGACTCCTTCATTATTCGGTTTGGGCGTGCAACAAAGCAAAAGGTATATGCCATTTTAAGTTGTTTTTTTTTAATTTTTCGACTACAAAGATCGTGGTATGTTTCGTAATACGAAATTTAGGGACCAAAACCTGGCTCAATATCGTTCACTTTCGAGTCTATTAGCTCCGCGAGAGAATCGTTCACACAAGCGCAGAAAATGCGAGTTGATGGTCAAGCTGTCAAGGTCGAAGCAAGCCCTGCTTTCTGTATGTCAATTCATTTCCAGATAAACTAATTTGGCGAAAATATAAGTATTTTTTTCTCAAGTTGCTCCTGCTGCTTGTCGCTCTCGGCCATTTTTCAAGATTCCTGTTGATGAAGAAACTCAAAAAAGGACAATCTATGCCCTTGACCTGCCAACCTCTGCAGAACGAAACTTATTGAACAGCATATTCGGTCAGCTCAATTAATACTGTAGTCTTCAAAGGGAATTTTGTGAGTCTCGTGTAGTCACTTGTTTCCTGATTTCTAAGATATTCTTTCTTCAGAGGCAGATCATATTGAGAAGTTAACCTTCCTCCCGCTTCGGAATCAACATAAACAAGCTGAGGTTAGGACTTCTATTTTTAAATTCATCAATTCTGGTAATTTGTATCGTATTTTAAGGTCGTCATGTACTCAGAAGAACAAGCTGAAGCGGCAAGGTCTGAAGACGGTTTCGAGCTTGACGATGGGCAGCAGCAAAGCGTTTTGAGGTACGAGAATAATGACTATGTTGTGTTGAACCACTTGAGACGGATTAATAGTTTCATGTGTCGCAATTACCTAGGATCCTGAAACCAGCCGAGTATGCCAAATTTGTCGAGGAGGAGCAGAAACCAATTCCTTTTGTACCCCCAGAAGTCGAAACTTCATCTGCTCAAGAACCTGTTGCTACCACTAATCAGCAAGCGGCGCCTAAACCAGCCGAAGCAAAATTGGCACCGGTGCTAGACGAGGATGATGTGACAGACATGTTCATAAAGGTGACCGTTTCTTGTTTACTGTTTATTTGTTTCTGAATGTTTAAATCTGCTGTCAATTTTCAATCCGCATCCTTATATCTACTAGTCAGCTTCGAGTTCTCCCATCGATCATTTGCCTTTAGCTTCCAGTTGAGCGGGAGGGCTCGTCGAAGGTGTGGTTGAAGGGTGAAAAAATGTGACAGTGTTCAGGGATGCAAAATATTCAAACAGCTCTTCGTGAGTTGATGTTCATACCAGAATTATTTCAGTACGTGACGGACCAGCGTGTCAACTGGGCAGAAATTACGGATGTCATGGAGCTGTATACAATGTGCGACGCAGTATCGGCTCAAATTGGAGGACTTCCTGACAGTGTACTGCGACCGGCAATGTTACATACTTTACAACGGCATCTCACCGAGGCACAGACTGCATGGATGCGGGAACATTTACAAGACTTGATAAAGTTGGTAGCTACTTTCTTATAAATTACCATTTCAAGCTATCCTCAGTGTCTCGCTTTTTCTCGATCATCCGTCTCCTTTTCATCCATTTTCTTCACGAGCTTTTAAGGGGTTGGAAACATGAAGTGAAAAAAGATGCGTTTGTCGATCGACCCACATTGGTTCAGATGAAGGCTGCTGAATACGTGCCCGTGGCTCCCAGTAGGAAACGATTGAGAGGGTAACTTCCTAAGGAATTCTCTTAGCACAATATGGGGATTCATAATGAGCATTGCTTTTAGGAAAAATTCAGCAGAATCTCGTGCAGGTCGAGTGTTGATGGGAGTAGGTGCCTTATTGGAAGCTCAACGTCAAAAGTAAGATTCACATTCTGGACTTCGTTCGATTTTGTTTATTCTATGTGGTACCCCTTTGCAGAATGGTAACAGAAGAAGGCGAGTTAGAAGTAGAAGAAGATGAACAGGGCAATATCATGCTCGGCGGAGAGGCTCTCAGCTTTGAATCATGGGCAAAGTATGCTTTTCTCTTACTTACTTTATGTATGAGTTGTTAAATGAACAATGCAGCGGTAGGCAGCTCCCACATTGTCTAAGTCATTCAAACATCCGTCCGTTTTGTGATAGGTCGACTGAATCTGTCAGAAGGAAAATTGCGGTAGACATGAGCTGCCTCAGCAGGATATTGTGTAGTCCAAACTCTCTTTTGGGAAAGATCAAGTTTGTGAAGTGTCGAGTAACACCTTCAGCAATTGCGTGCATAGTTTCCTCATTACAGTTTGTATGTCATATTATCAGATAATTGGTTCCAGACTGACTAAAACAAACCAACCCGATATCGTGTGTGCGAGGTTACCAGGTGATGAACCCGCAGCCAAAAAGTCAAAACCTGAAGTGCACGATTTCAGGAAGCTGAAGTGAGATTCACTATCTTTATCGCTAATTGATCTTTTATCTTAGTAAATTAACGTTTATATATCTGCATTTATTCACCTATAATCAAGTGTCAAATCACCTTTGCAGACAAAGTCAGAAAGAGTGGAAAGAGAAGAGAATGGGCGCCAAGAAGATGCGAATTATGCAACAGGTGTGGTGCTTTACTCAAGTGCTTCACTCAGTATTTATCTTTCTTTTCCTAATTTTTCCTCACTTTTTGATCCGTCGCTTTCTGAATTGTAAGAACTCACACCACTGACTACCAGTGTTAAGGCTCGTGAAGAACTAGAAGCGCTAGAAAAGGAAAAACAGGCAACGGCACAAGCAAAAAATCCCAAGGACGTCGAGAATGGCAAAGAAAAGAAGGATGCAGAAAAACCTTCGTCAAAGCCTGCGAAAGAGGTAAGAGGAGCAGCTATATTTTCGGCTTGTTAACCCTTTAGTTGTCTTCGCAGTTTGATCACAAGCTCATAGACATTTATGCGATTTCACTTTTGAAACTTTTTCCGACTTCAGTTAGCTAGCTATTTTTGCTATTCTAGCTGACCGTTCAAATCCCCGTAATAGGCTTTCCTTTATGCGTCTAATCCATTTGATTGTTCGAGTGTGTTACATCGCAAGTAATGGAAAGGCTCTGTCCTTTGCATCTGCTCCTTCACTACTTATTGGTGTTTCCATCTGGGGAACAGGAGCACAGATAAGGGAATATAAAGGAAGCTGCCATTGCTTTCTTATGGGGCTTAAAATAAGAAGTAAGGAGAAAGGGTGCTATCAATATTGGTCTTCGTGTTGGCTAGTTCCGGTTCTACTTCCGTGAAGCATTAGATCTTGTAATAATGTTTTTAAAATGAGTGATAATTCTGGTTTAGCTGGACGAGGGTGAAATTGATTCGGAAGAAGAACGAAGAGAAGAGAAAGAGAAGAAACGATCGAGAAAGAAAGCGTCGAGTTCTTCGAATTCGTCAAGCAGCTCATCCAGTTCGGAAAGCGATGACGATGGTGATGCACGGAAACGACGACGGAACAGGCGAAAGACAGAACGGCTGAAGGTAGCCATTTCATCGGTAACAGAGGCGTTATGTTAAAATTGTGAATTCGGTGAGCTAGGTCTGACTTCTCTTCAGCCTCTTTTTCTTCCTGATTCGTTGTCATGCTCCTTTTTATTCGTTCACAAAAACTCAAAAATGGAAATTCGATTGCGAGATGCCGATCTTTTAGTTGCTATGAACATGATTTTCAATAGCACTTTTCAGTTTTTGCTTGGATTTACACATTTTAGAGGTTAACTGGGTATTTGTTCAAAAAATTCCATTCTCAAAATGTCACTTGAAAGTGGGGCCTAGGGCTGTCAATTTTCGGAATTTCAATTTTTCTTTCTATGCCCATTCGACTCCCGTAGAAAGTCAACCGCGGAACTGTAAGAACTCAACATCTCGTGAGGGGAAGTTCTAGGTGATAAGAGCTCATAAGAATTGTTTCTTCTTTCCCAATTGCTTGTTATTCTGATTCTAGATATTTTTGGATATCCTCTGTTTAGGGTCCTCAAGTACCTCCTCTTTTTCAACGGATGTTCAATTATCGACATGAAATTATTAATGCACTTTCCGCCGAACACAAAACGGCGTTTGCTTCTGTCTTGCATCAGGTAATTCTTGTTCATCATTTTTTTTTTGGCAGAAATTCCCAGTCGGTATGTTCCTTAAAGTGAACGTATATCCCTTTCCAATAACCTAGCATTTGCTTGGGCCTCTCGTCGAACTGTAACGTATTTGACTGTAAGCAACCCTTTCCCTTTATCTTTTATATTCTGTTTGACTATTNTAACTGATGAGAGGGTATAGGTGATCATTGGCTTTCGGGTGCGAACCCTTTTTGTCACAAACATATAAGTCCGGTAGGATGGACCGCAATGTGGACGATTGCTCGTCGATGTTATCGCTTGCGCTTTGTAGTCGCGGCGCCAGATTTATGACGACTTCCCCTTTCGTTTCAACAGATGCGCACTGGGCCTATATGACCTTGCTCTGAACTAAATCAATCTGCAGAAAACTGGTTGCTTATAATCAGTGATGATTGGGCGGTTGATTGTGGTAAGGCTCAGCCAGGATTCTCTTATATTTAGTAGCTGGTAAAGTTCTCTGAAAACTAAGGAACTTTATTGCCTTTAGCTTTCTGGTGGTTCCTCTGAAGGTCCTGATTTTTATTTTGGGAATCCTTTCTTTCTGCGAATTGATCGCTTATGTAGCACTTGAAAGCCTAGTTATTGAAAATGAATTGAAGGGAAGGGAATGATCCAACTTGAACTGCTGTGCCGGTATTCAGCTCACTTTTCTACCATTTGAACTCTAAGAGCTGACCTGAAGTGGTCATAGCTTTGCTAGGTTTTTCTGGATGCCTTACATAACAAAAGGGTTACAGCTTGTAACTTTCCACATATGTATGTCCCGCCAAAAAATTTTATACTTGTCATTATTTGGCCATATTTCCCTTTTCGTTATTATATCTTCCTTTTTAGAGCCACAGCAATTTTCTGTGGCTGTAAAACACTGTCTCTACAGTAAATCTATGTACCATCGCATATTGACTACGGTAGACGCGGCATTACGGTAGAGTGGAATCGATTAGTTTATCGTGTTGCGATGTTGAGCACATAATTATTTGTATCACACAGCTAAGCGTCGAATGATTGACATATGAAGTGGGATCTGTGGTGAGATTATCGCGTTCTACTCGAATAGCATACCCTCTCTCTCTCCTTCCCCTTTGCAGATGGACAGCTAATAGTAATGGAGTTACCTGACCGGAAAAAGCTATTCTGTTCAGCTAGTACCGCCTAATCGGCGCCATTTGATCTTCAGTCTAGGTCCCAGCAGCATTTGTTTGAGCTCCGCGAAAATAATAAGCGAACACGCTTGGCGGTCCCGTTTGAGCTTGCTCGAGAAACATCTGAATTGTTGGTTGTCAGGCGATGACGTAATGCAACAGAAAAGTGGTGATGTAATGGAAATGACAGGGTGCCTGTGGATCTGAGAATCTAGCGTCTATCATACAACATTTTTGTAGATTTTCAAAGAGAAAATTCTGAAAAATTAGACTTCAAGGGATTGTCAATGGTCCGAGGGGCAAGAGAAACGGATTTATCTACAGTGACACTGTATACCGCGATGAGAGGAATGAATTGCACAGTAGTGCTTAAACTTCTGAGGATGCACCATGTTTTTGACTACCAAATCGAAGGGCACTGACAAAAAGCTCACCTGTAATCAACACCGAAATCCCATCAACTTTTCGATTCTGGAATGGTAGAAGGCCTAGGTCTTTGGGAATGTGGCAAATAGCTAGCCATTCTTTCGCGATACAACGCTTTTTCATGTAGAAGTCTATGGGCTTGTCTGGAATTGTGGACAAAACTCTTAGATTCTGGATTGGACTTTAACCTCCTGAGCTGTCTTAGTACTAAAAAGGCGCTGCCAACAAACTAACAAAAAAAACTCCTGAGTATTATTGGATATGTCCACAAATTTCGTGTTCCCAACCGATTTCCATAAATTTCTTTTATTCTGAATTGTCATTCTTTTTTTTAGTGTCATCTTCATCCGATTTAAAAAGTTATGTCGCTGAAGACTAGACATTTCATGACCTGATGGACTTTTGGGATCTTCATAAAAGTTGCTTCGTTATATAATGGAGGGAGGAGGTAAACTCCAAAAAAAAANAAAAAAAAAACTCTTTCAGTCATATAAAGGTCTTCTGATATGGTGGCTGTACCAGTCTGAAGAAAGATCTTTCTCCGGCATTCATCTCAAGTCCTAATTGACCGGGCCTGGCAATTGCATAAGTGCTAGAACGTTTTGGCATAGTGTTGTCCATATCAGGTTACTTCTGAGCGTAAACATCTGTTGATGTCGCTTTGTATATAGCTTCAGAGACATCTGGTCAGAAGGCTTTGTGGACGGCTTCGCCTTTCCGGCTGGAAAAGTGCACATCCCAGAGGCTCTGTCTGGAAGTAGGTTTGACAAAGTGCACAACAGTTGTGAGTTTTGCAAGTACGAGTGGCGTATTGGATAGCATTTAGTCTTAATGAGACAGTTTAAATGGAAAGAAGATATACGATGAAATGAACGGAAGTGCACTTCTAAAGTGTTTAATAGTGGAATAGAATGGCCAGTGACGGATGGGAAGCCTTCGAAGAACAAACAGTTCATTAATCTTGATACCTTTTTTTTCCTATGAGTTAATTCTGTAGCTTCACTTTAAAAGAAATGGCTCGACCTTAATTGCATGAGATACGGTACCATGAGCAACGTAGAGGGTAAGGAATCCCTGCTTTGCAACTGAAGGACCTAATTCAGCACAAGGCTTGCAAGCGTAGATTCCTTTGAAGTAGAGTCTGTTGATAAAAGATCTATGAAAGGGTAAGGGCTCAAGTCTTGTGACGTTACTGAAATGCCCTATTGCAGGATGCGCCCCTCATTCATTCTCCATTCCCATTCAGAGCCTTAGTGGCAATTTGAATGCTCACGTGACAGTGACTTGGGACGTCAGCCGATGTACAGTTCACTACTTCTGTCCTTCCAGACGGGTCTGGTACCGATTAGCAGGCCCCGGAGCATTCAGTCGGCTTGGACAAGTACCAGTCTAGGATTCGATCTCTAGACCAAGTGTGGTAGTTTATCACATGGTAGTATACCGCTTCCACTGTAGCAGAGCAGAGGAGCAGGGCCAACTTTGTTTCGATTCCAGATCGGCTCCTGTGCTATAAAATGATCCCTATTTTGGCTCATTTACCATGGGTCAGTTTAGTTGGAGTCTACCCAAAGCCGTACCAATGTTGTGACTCAAATGTTCTGTCTTACGGAATCGTTCTGGGGACCTTCAGTCTTTCTGTGCAGTGATCTGAACTTTTTAGTTACGAATAAGGTAGTGAATTCGAGTATTCCTGGTGCTTTTGACTTTAGAGCACATAATGATCCGCGATTTACCGAAAACGCGACATGATCCTTGCCCTCTTCTTTCATGGCAAGCAGTCCGAGCAATTAGAGCCACTCTTTTATTTTGTTTATGTGTACGTATAGGGATAGGTGCGATGATGAGGGGAATGCCTGTCAATTTCCATGGTAATGGCCATTTGGATGCGTCGCCTAGTGTTCTAGTGCTGACACGAACGGACGCCGTAATTATGTTCGTTCGGGACATATCGAATAGGAAATTGTAGAGTTCCGTCCGTAGACTGGCACAAACAGAAAACGGCGTATGAACCTCCTAAATCGAACTTGCCTTTTTTTTAAGATTCCAACAATAAGGAGAGTTGGGAATAATGTACTACTCTACCATTTATCCTCATCAGATGATATGGAAAATATTCGTTTCTGGTAAATGAATAAGGAGGCACGCCACAGATTTTTGTAATTTCCACCCCTTTGAGATTTCCGAAATGCTGCGAGGTCGTAGCTTCTTCTTCGATACCTAGATTAATTGAAGTGTCATAATGTAGAGCGGTGAAATCCACCTTTTTTGTTTGTCATTCCCTTCATCAAAGGATGTGAAGTAAGCCATAAAATTTCCAGAGCTATTCTATTCAATGCGCCATCTGATATCCCTTTAATTTTCTTTTCTTTTCATCCGACAAACCAACAAAATAGCATCGCTCAGCTGTAGGCTTATTCCCAGCTCATAGGAGGTCTCGTGTAATTCGGAATTTGCTCTTGAAATTGTTTTTACAACGTTCTCATTAGCCTTATATATCCTACTGTTTAAAGATTGTCAGTTACCCAGTCCATTACGATCCATCTCACAATCAGTTTGCTTCCATTTCTGCTTTTACTATGGGGAAAGGCACCAACGTCGCGTATTTTAGATAGTGTATCATAGTTTTGTTATTGTGTAAAGTTATTCAAATGTAGCTGGAAGTTGCGTTTTCAGATNGTGTAATTCGGAATTTGCTCTTGAAATTGTTTTTACAACGTTCTCATTAGCCTTACCTATCCTACTGTTTAAAGATCGTCAGTTACCCAGTCCATTAAGATCCATCTCACAATCAGTTTGCTTCCATTTCTGATTTTACCATGGGAAAAGGCACCAACGTCGCGTATTTTAGATAGTATATCATAGTTTTGTTATTGTGTAAAGTTATTCAAATGTAGCTGGAAGTTGCGTTTTCAGATGAAGTCGTCTGGTCGAACAGGAATCTCACACTCGGATCAACAACAAATGCTTTCATTCTTGTCGAGTTTTAGTCGATGAGACAATGCCATAGTTTGGGAAGCCAGCCTGGAAAGTTCAACGAACTGCTTCGTTTATTCCTTATTTTACCTAAAAGTGCGGGTCGAGTAGAACATTTCGATCACTGTAGTAATCATCAGATGGGCGAGCAATTTAATGGTTAATTTCGTCCCTATTCACACCGATCTATTGGAGTTCGTACTCGTCCCATCATAAGCAGTGGATACTGTGGGAGCTCCTGCAATGAGCTGCCAAGTGCCGTCATCATTCCACTGTGCCCCCAGTGTTCCCACTGTCTTTGAAACCTTTTAAATTTGATAGCACAGTCAAAGAAGAAGCACAGTCTCTCTCCTTTCCCCCTCACACTGCATTCGATGTCATACTCTGCGGTTTCGCTTTGGATCTGTCACCGTCCATGTTTTCGTAGTCCCGATCAGAGGCTACTGATAACATGCGATTGCCTCCTTTCCCTCCCTCTTTTGTTAACCTTAACTCATTTCTGCTTGTACTGGCATCCGGTCCTGGCACCTTAAATATCTTTTCAAATACATATAAGTCGTGATCTAAGAGATGTTACTCTATGTTGTTACCTTTTTTCTTTGAATGAAGTTTCTCTATTTGTCACGAAATTGTACAGATACCGAAAAGTTTGAAGAAAACCGAGTTACTCAGCCAAGAATTGCGCAACTACTTGAGTGACCAAGGTCGAGTATTCGAGTAAGTAGGTGGTGATGGCGCGGTATGGGTCCGATGGTGAAAATTGATTGGGAAGTGAGCATGGAAACGGTAAACGGCATTGAAAAACAGACAAATAATTAAAACTTGAGTAGCATATTGGATTCAATGATAACTCGAAAGGTGTGAGGAGGCACGAAAGGGGTAGATAAACAAAACAGGAAAGGTAAAAGTTGTTGTATAAAAAACAAAGGAAAAAGGCAATCCTTCTGGCCACCTATACCACTTAACTCTCTTTACCGCCTAAGCTGTGACGGTAGTTTCCATACCGTCTCTTCAACAGTAACCACTATTGCTAGTTTTTTCCCATTAGTGCTGTGGTTACTCGTTAACGGAATGGTTAGGGGCATCCCATCGCACAGATCCACCGCTATGCAGCCAATCACCTTTTGAGTTTACAGCTGCACGGCTTAACCCACAGTCTAGAAGTGTATGGCTTACCTGACAGCGAAAGCATACCAATTACCTTAGCTTGGTCATTCAGAGCGCCTCCACAGCTTTCGATTTGGTCATTCAGAGCGCCTCCACAGCTTTCGATGAAGAGTAGAAGGGCATGGCGCAATCCGGAATGTCTGTTAGCTCTGGATGATGGAATCGGAGTAAAATCTACAAGTGTGGCAGGGGTAAGCTTTACATGGTAGCTCTTCTTTTAAAGAATTCCAGTTACTGAGACAACATTGATTGCCTTTGTTAGATTCAGATAAGGACCACCAAAAGGGACCAGAGTTACCTCAAAATTCCAGTACAACACAAATAACCGTGTGCTTTTCCTTTTCCCCCTTTTCAGCCCTAACAGTTGCAAATTCCATCTGGGGATGTGTTGAGTCGCTTGGCCCTGGTTATGTTGCCATTCCCAGCAATCCATGTTTGTCCATTGGCCTGACCTCTTGGATCAAGGGCCAACAGTTGGCCGTCGAACGTCTGTTGGCCAGAATTCAAACGGATGGGCGTCGCAATAGGCTCGCGTAATTACCGTCTTCTTACGCGATCTGAGTCTCTTTATAGACGCAGTCCATCGTGTCCCGGAGGGGATACGGCTTTCATACCGAAAGTGTTTTCTCCCCTCGGCCATGAAAAAGACTTTCCATTAACGAAACGAATGGCCTAGCTAAATAGAAGCGTGAAAATGAAATGAAATTGAGAAAATGTCTTTATTAGCTCATCGGTGTACGAAAATCGAATATTTTTACAGACAAAATTCTCCATGTCTTTGCATATCCCGTCGGAACGGTGTTCAGGCAACACATGGATCTGTTGGCTGCGAGTTGATACCGTACTTTCTGATGGTGAACGATGAGAATAGCAGTGCAATTGAACTGGCCACAGGATCGACAATCGCATGTACGAGCCAGCTCCAGGTCTGAAACGGTATACGGCGATGATTACGGTAGTGATGAAGTGGTGGGCAAATAACATATTGGGGACCCGCTCGTTCAAATGTGTCTGTGTGTATACACGCGACGGTACATTCGACGGATACCGATATATCGCATTTCTGCCGTCTCCACCTGGGCTGCTTGATGGCGTGCGCACGGGTGATGTTTGCACAATTGGCGCGGGAACGCCGTTACTTGGGATAAATGTGATGTAGGGTTGATGAAGTGAGTGTGACTTTGGGATATGGCATATTCCTCACCTTAGCAAGCCAGTTGGCCGGAATCGATAGGAGTTTGGCAATCGGTACGCAAGCGAACACATTGATGACGGAAACGATAGCGAACAGAATACCGAAAAGGATAGCTGCTGGCAGGCCAAGAATGAGTGAGCAGAGGCGATAGACGAAAAGACGGGTCCAACTGAAATACGGGAGGTAATTCCATAGATATAGCAACTTTACATAGACCTAAACGAGCTGTAGGCTCTCATTGGTCATCAGGCCTTAGTAATTGAAGCAAAACTCACATGAACACCTTATACACCAGTCGCCATACGCAGTCCCACGAGTGTTGGGTGTCAGCTTCCCCAAAGATATCTTCGAAACCAAAGCGAACATGCTCATTGATACCCTGGAGCACGAACATATAGCACAAAGCGGTCAACGGTCCGGCATTCCTCAAGACCGGCTTACCTTCTCGTCCCTGTTCACGAGATCGATTCCAATCGACATATGATCGCTTTTTTGCTCCTCTTCGGTTTTGTGCTTTCCCCACCAGCATTTTTTGGCCGGCTTCTCCTCACCGACTTTTTCCTCTTCTCCTTTCGGTTGTTCAATGACTGTCTTCTTCGTCTAAACAGGATTTGGTCTCACTATGGGCATATCCCTAAGATCACTACATGTGCACTATGAACTCACTTTTTTGAAGAACCAGGTTTTCTTCTGCTGAGACGGTAGGGGAGGGAATGCCTCTTCTAAGGTCTCTGTGGTCCCAGCTGGAGCGTCGGTGTCTGATTTGAGCGGAACCTGCTCGAGCTCCGTTGGCTTATCTTGATCGCTGGACATTTATTCTACAAATGACTTAATTAAGATTTCGAAAAAAAAAAGTAAAATTAATCCAGCAGCACTTGTACAGCAAAAAGCGATTATCGAGCAAGAACAGTGGATAAAGAAAGCAAAATCTCCCACACATTTGAAAAAATGTGATTGTAATGAGAAAACTGAACAATTGGACAATGGACACGAAAAGGAATATTAGTGATGTGGGTCGACTGGTGACCCATTGTTCGCATTCACGGTTGGGGGTCGATGGCGTAAGAACGGCGTGCTGGTGTGATGTTGATGACGGTAGAGCTGCAGTAGGATCAGGATAAGTGTATATGCCATTGACATATGCAGATGAGCATCAGAGAGCAGCTAGCGATGAGGTCAGAGTACACGCCTCCTCAAAATCACCATTGGAGGTGAACACCCACAATGCGTCCCGCCCACACAATGATTCGACCCCCAACTCGACTCCACCCCCCGTCAAAGTTAGTAGCGTTTTTATCAACATCATCGTTCTCAAGTACAGTGCAGAATAAATAGAAACCACTTAAGTGACGGCAAATTTTCATCGAAATACAGGAATAAAAGGCTGATCATTTCACCTTTGAGGATAAGCCATGAATTCGACTTCTTACATAATTGCGTCTTTACTGGAATGCTGATGGGAAGTCTCCTGATGCCACAAATCTTCAGACGATTACGACGTTATGAAAACAAGAAGCAAGGTCTTATCGTAAGCGCTCTACAATAGAACGTTCGGTTAGAGGGTACTCCACCTGTGCCATGGTCTCGGACTCTCCAAAGGAGTAGAGACAGTCGTCAACAATTGTACTGCTGAGCTTCTCCTCTCCAAGGGGTTTTTCTACAACTCAGCACTGTACTGAAAAACCTCCCGTAGGTTCTCAAGCTTACACGACCTTTTCAGCGGCTCGTAAGAGATAGACTTTATATCTTTCTTTGCCTCTTAGCACAGCAAGAACCACTGTAGCGCACCAGAGTAGGTAGGGGTCTTAAAAATAAACCGTCTTAAATCAAGCATAAGTAGGATCAACACAAACCACAGTTTCCACAGTCCAAGTTGGATCGTTTACAGAACCTATCCTTCTCAAACGTAGAATCGCACATAGCCGTTCATGACTGCACTCCAACGAAAAAATGCAGAGAGCGTATATAGCTCTGATTACTGGAAGTTCTAGTGTATGCGTAACGACTGGAGAAGGCAGGGCAGAGGCAATTCATGGGAGAGAGTACCTTCGGGTACCATTTAGTATTTCATAAATAACCTCAACACACCGACATGACATGGCGCAATCCTGATCACACCTTGGGATATGCTGACATCCACTTACTGGTGGGCAGTATTCACTACAGTATCCTATTAAGAGTTCAAAGAAAGCTTTTGTCAGACTATTTTTCTAAAAAATTTCCCTGAAGTTCCCCTCTAGGATTCGTTCAGATGGCCCAATCCTTCATTGTTTATAATGAGCTAGGGTGGGCTATGCTTCCGTATCGTTCGGCCACCAGTAAGTTTGGAACTTCTTCCTCTATTTTCTCTCTTTCCATTGCCTTTTCCTGCTGTTTCCCCGGTCTTCTTCTTTTTTCATGTTTTCACTCTATTTTTCCATTTTTTCTCACAAGGAGCTTCAGTCTTTTGAAGCTCACCGAAGCTCCTTTCACCTCACTGATTAATGCTTTTTTTTGCAAATTAGCCTGCAGTTCTCTGCATAACTTGGTGACCATTGTCGGTGCTTTATGGTGTGCTGGAGTAAACAAAGTGATTGAGTGAATAAACAAGTTCTCATAATGAGGCATTCGACTATCCTCCACGAAAATATCTTCATTTCTAGATTGAATGAATATGAATGCTTGTGGAAGTATGTTTTGACTGACTGGCTATACCTTTTAATTGCATCTTCCTCATTCCGTTAAATTGAAATTGTCTCATTCCAGCCAATCTTTCACCAAATACACTTTGCGATTGATGAACCTTGTCCTCATGTAACCTACCGACATGTAGTACCATATATGGCGCCTGCGTTTTCAATTTCGGCTGAGAACTAAGTGCATAGCGCAATCTAGAGCAATTATACGAGAAAATCATCAGTTTGTGGACTCCTGGCCTGAACTGAAACCCTTCTTCAGTTCATCTTGATTACTTATTTATAGACCAGCGTTGCAAAATCGTCTCGCATGACCGATTTGTAGTCCAGGTCAATCCGTCGCCATGGCGATCGGCACTCTGTTGATGATCAGCTTAGGGCCCACCAGCGAACGTGTCATCATCCTCACACGTCGGAGAGGGGGATGACTGAAACCTGTTACAAATTAAGAGCACTCTCAAGATAGTCCTAGAAAGTTCCGTGGATTTTGCCCTTTCAAAGCTTAGTGGGGAATTTGCGCTCTCCCACTTTACTGGGTAATAGTCGTAAAAGGCGCCTTCACTCTTCATGAAGTTCAGGGACGGTTTTTCTTTTTCTTTTATTTCAAGGCTGTGAGTTTCATTAAACTCGATGAGACATTTGTTGTTAAGTGATGGCCGTGGTCACTCGTAGTGGCCCATATGGTCAGTTTTCATCGTTTATTACGGCAGAGCCTATCAAATTCCAATATAATGGCCGGACATCGCAAAGGCTTTTTTTCGTTATACCAATTAAATGCCAGGCCAGCGTATAATTGTCTGGAAAGCTCTCGTGTGAACGACGTTATAAAGAGTGATCTGTGGGATATTACAATTCTAGGGACAATGGGAGGGAAAAACTGAGGACTTTGGTGAAGGAAACAGTTCAGAGGAAAGCTGAGCTAGGTTAGTGCGAGTGAAGCTCGAACTATAGGAAAGTTGATCTTTTGTTTTGAAGAGNAAAAATGATCCATTTTCTACTACATACTTTAGTGGATGTAGAAGCCCGAGTTTAGGGATAGGTCGGTACTCGAGTTTGGCGCTAAATAGCAAGATCTTCCAAAGAGGGCATGTTTCAGGTGTGTCCTTGGGCGGACGGGTGAAGTCGAAAAGAAAGGATATCGCTGCATTGTCGCCCTCATCAGCATTTTCGAAAGCACTTGCAGAATTGTTGCTTGTGAAGTTTGTGATACGATGGAATGGGTCCTGAAAAACAAAATTACCACTCTCCATAAAGCTTTTCCTAGAATCTGTCTGAAATGACCAAGTGAAGGAATTCTTGATCCCAAAGTGACCCTGTCTAGCCTCTACTCGACATGTAGTAAACGTAGCGTCACAGATTCATTTAAGAGACAATCTCCGGAACCAGCTTTTCCCTTAACTCTTTTGAGCCATAATATCGAAGAAATCACTGGGTTTCATATACTGAAACTGTACAACAAGAACACAGATTGGGGTTGGGTTTAAAAAAAANAAAAAAAATTGTTCATTAACATACGCCAATTTACACATCATAACTTAAAAAATCAAACCCCTCGGCTCCTTATTTTTCCTCAACCTACCTGTTATCTTTGACAGATTATGGGATAGCAAGGCCTACAATGATGATATTAACAGAGGTGAGTTCCCCCATGACAGCAGCACATATATTTATATACGCACAAGTTAATCAAAGAGGAACAAGGACAGGAAGCGACTCAGGAAAGGTCCGTAACGAGCTACGTTTTTGCGAGTTCGCTTTCCAAAGTGTTAGAATCGGCGGCGAGTTTCAGCCCATATATGGTTTGTAGGAAAGTGTCTGAGGGTTACTACTTTTTTAAAGAATCCAAGGAAGAGGTAGTCGTCGAATGCACGGCGATACATTTCACTAAAAATGTTACGGATTAGTTATGAGATTGTTGGTAAAGAAAGAAAATAGTTTGCAAGGAAATTCTACTTTTTCTAGACAACTGTACTGGCTGGCTCAATCATTTTCGCATGTTTTACTCACTAAGTTTCGATAATTCGTTTTTTCGCAGAACATTTTACCTATATTTTCTCGTTTTCTTTGGATAGCATGAATGAGGTTACATGAAACAGCCAGGAGCTAGGTGAGAAAGTAATCGAGAAAATTGAATCGTAAGTAGTGAACGGAATTTATTACGAACCTGATAAAATAATAGACGAAGAAATTGGCCGCAGACCCAAAGTTCACAAGGAGTCCGGCAATTAAGTCGGCATGCAACTTTTCAATGCGTAGACTGAAAACAACGCCCAGCACAGTAAACAGTACTGCACCGAACCAACCGAATACTGTTGTGAGGCTTATAACGGCGAGTGAACGGTGGACTTGTTTCGAACTTTCTTGGCCTTTAAGTTATGATTGATTGAATTGATTGATTGATGAAATGGGAAAGTTAACTGTAATGATTATGAAGACTCTAAGGACCTTGATATCGAGTTAAAGGCACGGTTCACGATAAAAATGGATGGAGTTCTTCCCATAGGAATACTCAGCGATCCCCATGGGTGGTAGAGTAGTCCTCTCGCTCCCCAATCTCGACGGTTAAGGCATAGTGGAAGCCCGGGTGTGGTGCGATTCACGCATCAATATAGTGAGGTCATCGGATAAAACGCGGTAAAACATCATGGCTACCATCATAACGGAAGAAATAAGGACTTATAAGTAGAATAAGTAAAGAAATGACCAACTATGCACGTTTACAGAAGGAATGCATCTTCCAGGATCATAGAATTTAGATTTATTCTTAGTTTGAACATTTGACAAGTAAATTGTTGACCAATGAGGTGGATTCTCAATCTCGAAGGGGCTTTTTTTGCAATAATAAAGAGATTCCCTCTATTTATGGTGGAGCCGTGAACTACTGCAAATTTATTTGGTCCATCTTAACAAAAAGGTACTGAAGCGATGCTGCGTGCGCGAAGAGCTTTATGGGGTCGCGCGTGAATCGCGCGGCCCCCGTGGAAGCCCGAAGCTCTGTTGCTGTCTTGAGTGGCTTTCCCGCCTCCCGATCGATGTCACGTTAGAGGAGTGTCGAGACAATACAGATTGCAACTTTTCGTTTTAGGATCCAGACACAATCAGCTGATCGCCGAGTGAGGTGAGTGAGTGATCTTTTCC